CTCCCGGTGCCATCTCCTGCCCCCGGCGCAGTTGCATTGCGAAAAATCTGCCCCACACAAGCGGTGCTTGTATGCCACACGGAAAGAAAATGGGAGTACCCAAGAAAGAGCTCATATTTCGATTGCCTATAAAGCTTTAGAGATATCTTTCGTTGTCTCAAAGAATTTATTTATTAAAGATTGGAAAGGATTTAACTTTTGATATTTCTTAATAATCTCTAATCTTTGATTTTTGTTTCTTAATCATTGAAAAATTTATTGCTCCAAAATATTTCCCAGTAAAGCTATTTTGTTTCTTTTTTTCTCTCTGTATTTGATATATTTACAAGTATATAGATTCGCTATTTCGCCCCCGCAACACACAATCTTACACACTGGGGGAGCACAAACAATTTGTAGGTGTGGCCGGAGTGATCCGAATCAAGTGTGGCATCTGCATGGAACCACGGACAGGGACGCTTCCATGGATGTGTGGTGCATTGTGGATGCAACTGCGAATGTTGGTGGTGCCAATGACGTTCCGTTGATGGCCATTCCGTGCCAGATCAAGCGGAAATGTGACGTTGACGGCAATAAATATAAAGTGAATCGCTTTGTTTTTGCAAGAGTTCAAAGCTTGCAAAAAAATTTCGAGAAAAAAAGAACTGGTGGGAGGGAATGCAGAACAACACGCCTATTAATAGATAATTGAGGGTATTTGGCAGGGTAATTGATACACAGGAAACATGTGGAGTAGAATCAATTGGAGCAGCCAAATAGGAAGTGGCGAAAATAGCCAGCATTTTCTGTTCAGAAAGAGAAAAGAACCGATCAGCGAATTTTATGGTTTCGTATTTGGAGCACAAAAGCGATAAACTTCAATAGTAAAGAACTTTACCTTTGTAGTTTTCTTCTTTGCAGCAAGTATTTTTTTAACACCTAACCTACTCAAGAACATGAATTACTTCTTTGCCTTAAATAGGGGACTATTATTCTTAACCACATAAATAAGTTTCCCTAAAGCAGACTAATTGCTGACAACTTTAAAGCCCATAACTTACAAAGGTTTTTCTTGTAATTTTTGTGACAACAATCGCAATAATTAAAAAAACAATGGTTTACAAGAACTCAAATTACAAATTTAGCTGCTTTACAAGGTAATAATAGCTTATTTATTTGCTCGGTGAATGTTTATTTATTAACAGCTGGGTAGAAAGTTTATTTATCGCCATAAGTTTATCAAATTTCTCGAAAGGCTTGCGTAATCTTTTGCAATGTTCCTCCTGACAAAGAAGTGTGTTATTCAATTTTAAAGCTATTTTCGGTCACTAATGAAACTCCGCCTCGTTGGTCAACCCACAGCGGCAAATTAAAAACTTAATAAAAACAATTGTTGGCCATCGCAAACAATTTGGCAAAAAGTAACGGAATCGCCAGTCAAAATCAGACATTCGACATCCACCCAAAAATAAAAATAAAAATAAAAAGGCCGAGGCCGCCGCTTACACATCATAATTATCATCCAGTGCTAGCGGCGCTTTTGACCAGGTGTGGCCCTTTTTTCCCAACAATTTAATTATGGCTCGAGCTGAGAAATTAGGAAAAATATATGAAGCCAAAAATTGGCAATAAACGAAATTTGAGCCCCAGCCGAGCTGCGTTTTTTTCCCACTCACAATCTCACAATTTGTTAAGAAAACAAGCCAAGTGCATGTGAATGTGTCGATGAGTGTGTCGCTTGCTTTGTTTTATTTTGATTTATTTTTCTTGTGTTTTTGTGCAACGCCCTGTGCGCCTTTTGCATGCGTAATTTTGCTGGCACCGATGGTGGTCCCCGGGGTTCTTCGGATAGCCAGATACTCAGATACAAAACAGACCCCAAACGGAGTCCAAAATCCGAATCCGTGTACGACTGCACCCGCATTGAATAATTGCCAAAGGCTGGGCGCCACACGCCGGGACATGGCCATTCATACTCCGTTTCTTTGGCCGGCCACACACCAGCCATACTCGTACTATATATGTATGGATATGTTTATATCTGCATATATGCTAATGCCGGGCCATGTCGGCTTGATTACTCATATATACGGCCCGTCGATTCGCCGACTTCGCCGCCTGTTGATGGGTTTTTGTTTCATTTCATTTCGCTTTGCCGCTGCCGGTCGGTAATTTAGTTTTCAACATCAAAGGCGTGGGAATGGGCAAAAAGTGAGCACAAAAAACGATGGAATGATATATGCTCTGATCCGGGCCAGGATCCAGACAAATCCTCGACAAAATCTGCCCGCAGATTTATGGGCAGCCACTCGAAAGCCGAAAGCCGCCAATGGAACGGAAATTTGTCGCCCCGCAACAAATTGAAAACAACCCAGGCCCAAGAACAAAAAGATACTTTTGTGTCTTTTGTGGTGAAATACCCTTCGTAACGTTTTTTGTGCCTTGAATTCTGGGAAGGGAAGAAGTTTTTGAGATGTTATTCGGAGATGATAAATTTAAAGAATATTTTTTCAGGAAATACTCTAAGCAAAACATTTACAAACTAAACAACAAAAATAAAGAATTTACAAGACTGTGTTGAAAATGTAGAACTTACTTCACTCGACCACTTGCTGTCCTTCAAAGTTTTTCTTTGCCCACAAGTTGTACAACTCCGACTTGTCTTTGGACATAAAGTCGAACATTATATGACAGTGCAGCCGCCAAGATAGGGTTGGTTCAGTGTAGGCGACACCATCAAAACCCAGCGACAACTAAAACTACAATATAGCAACATCAATGACAATGACAAGCGGCGTCCGAGCGACGCGCGCATTTGGGTCAATGACGACGAAACCGAAACGCTTCCAATGATTTAGAACCCCCTCGGATTGGATCCGATCGGAACAGATCGTATCGGATCGGATCGGTTTGGAGATGGAGAAGGCACCGGCACCGCCAATGGAACATGGAACTTGGCATCGAGCTGGGGCTGGGAGCAATCATGCAGAAAATGTTACGAAAATCATTATTTTAGCATGTGGCGACAGCGGCTTATACAACGATACCTCCCCGAATCACACAGAAAAAATTCACAGAAAATTGGAAAACATGTTTAAAACTATTCGTAATTTTCTTTGAATTATCAACGAATTATCTGCTTTTACTTCCAAAGATTTTATATAATTTTTAACTTTTTTGAAAAGCCAGTTAATCACTCCTAATTTTTAACTGCGGGCATTTTAATACCATTTTTAAAGTAATAATAATGTGTAGATCTTTATGAGCAATAAACAACAATTTTTTATGGTGTTTGCTTTGCAGTTAGGTATTAAAGAGTTGTAAAACATTTGACCCATGGCAGTCATTTATTTCAAGAATAGTTTAACCCATTGTTAGCACTTTAATGTTCTCCACTGAGTATATGTTCTGCACTTTAAATGTGCATATTTTTTGTACAGTGCTGGTCCGAAATATCAGACCGAGGGCAATGGCTAAAGGGGAAGGGGAGATGGCTTTGGCTTTGGAGCGGAGGAAGTGGTTGCGTTGTTGTCGTTGTGTGGTTCGGTTGATCGGCGATGATCATTTTGTTCAATCGATTGTAAACGATGCGTTGCGATCGTTGCTGCGGCTTTGATCAAATGACAAAATTGATCATTTTCTGTTTGAATGGATTTCGATCGGCGACCCTCTTCGGCCCCCGAAACCCCCCTGAAAACCCCAAGCCCCCCCGTTGAATGCCTCCTCTCGAGCGACAACAATTGATTTATGTTCGCGTCTCTCTCTTTTTTCCCCCTCGGAGTCTATATCTCTCTCTCTTTCCCTCCCGGCTGGGTGGCATGTGCAATAAAAACAACAACGGCCATCGCTTTGTTACCAATAAAATATCCAAGTTTTTGTGTTGAGTCAAAAGGCGCTATAAATCAAGCCAGTGCGCACCTTTTTTCCCCTGTCTGATTTTCCAAAAAACAAAAAAAAAAATAAGTGAAACGAAAACAAAGCCAAAATCAAATGCTGAAAAAATCTGAGCAAATGGCAAATTAGCAACAATGTGAAGAAACATTTTCGCATTGCAACAATTAATAGCTGACCAAAGGATCGGGCTTTAACTTCGACTTGAGACTCTAGGAGCTCTCTCTTTCTTGGGTTTTGCAGTCGCGGGACTCAAATTCGATTTCACATTCCCGTAGGGGTGAAATCTGCGTTGGGCTTTCTGCTTTTCAGTCTTTAAAGCATGGCACAAACGCTGAGGGTAATAACCAAAAATTAGCAAAAATTGCCAAAAGTTTGACTTGCATGATTTATCTATAATTTTCCATCGCCGTCGCCAGGCGGTGCCTGTTTCCCGTTTTTTATGAACTTTTTGGGTGTACACCCAAAAAAATATATGCTTTTCCAAGATTCATATCTCCCGAAGAACTTTAAATGAAATAAATATTAAAAACCTATATCGAGTATATAAACTCTAATTTGTTTGAGGTCAGAATGTATGTATACAAAACTTAATTAAATTGTTTAGTTACGTTTTTTAATAGTTTTCTCCTTTTTTCGTATAGTTACACCCTTTAAAATGTGCAATAATCGTGTTTAAATTACTTTTTGTACATTTTCATTAATGTTTTTTTTTTGGCTACATAATAGACCACAATTTGAGCTCTTTCTTCCTGTGCACTTTTGGTACTGGGGCGGCCAAAAAGTTGCCACACTCGCCATCTCCGATATGGCCAACTGGCGGACAAACATGGGGGAGACCTCAAACACTCAGGCCACCAAATATCCAAATATCCCAGCTCTTGACGTCTGACGTCGGACAGTCTGGGCCATTTTTAATGCGCTTTCGGCTTTGGTTTTAGTTTTGGTTTTGGTTTTTGGCTTTGGTTTCTTTATCGGTTTCGATTTCCTTTCCGCAGCTTAATACTTGCGGGTGTTGTTGCCTGCACAATTTCTGGCCCGAACATGTAATCGCAGTAATAATAAAAATTTGCAAATGATTTCGTTACTCAATCTGCAATCAGGCACTTACAACGCTTATCGTCTTGCAGTCCTGGTTATGGCATCCCGGCTGGCCGCTGGCAACCTCCAATGGAGCGCTCGTTTTGCAGCTGAGCGACGCTGAGATCGCGCACGCACTTCGCCCTGCGGACCTGTATCTCTGCATCAAATTGGGTAAGTGGGTCGACCGGGATCGCAGGGGGCTGGCCCTTCCCATACCTATCATTAGGGATCGGGATCGGGATCGGGAACGGGCACAAGCACACAACCCTCAATCAGAATAATCGATCACTTACGGCCTTCTAGGGCCAGCTTGATTTAAACTTGGTCTAGAATGCGCGGTTGTGTAAGTGAAGAGTAGGGATATAAAGTTTTCCAGGTGTCCATTCCTTTTTTTGTAATATTAATTATTTAATTTCATGCAAATAAATAAATTATTCGGTTATTTAATCCATTACATAACTATAATTAGTTTTAATTTATATAAAATTTTAATGGGCTTCCGAACTGTTAGCTGGTAATATTTTAATATTTATTAATATTTATTTTAATATTTATAATTTGCTAGAAAAGAAATTAGCATTGAAGTGCTGAGATATTTATGACTCATAATATATGTTTTATGAATTGGAACCTCGTAAAGTTTATATCCCAGAAAATAGACAATTGACTCTTTTAATATTCATTAATAATTAAGTGAATGTAAGTATTATTTTACGATGTAGCTCTTCAGGAACTTGTTTACTGCTTGATTTTGCCAGTAAATCATAAATATTATTTTCACATTCACAGAATCTTCAGCAGAAGGCGACGCGGACTGCACACCGCGGCTCTATGCTGTTTGGCGCTCGTCCTGCAAGGAGGAGAGCGTCCAGAGCCACTGCATCGACCACGAGAACCCCGGCCAGCTGCCACTGAGCGTGCTCCAGCTGGAAATGTCCACGGCAGCGGCGGCACTAATGGCGGCAGACGGCGGAGAACTACCGCAACTGCTGCAGAATCTGCTGGTGAGCGTGGAGCGGAGCATCGAGCGCGTTTCGCTGAACGAACTACAGATGCCGATGCATCATTTTGGCCCCGGGGAGGACCTCCTCGATGAGGCCAACAACAACGGGTGCAGCAACGTGATGGGATCCCCCAAATGCGCGTTGCGGCGCAGCGATTTGATAACCAAAAACAAACTCTTCAGCAGCCGTTACATGCTGAGGCGTTTGACGAATCGGCAGGACAGCATGAACTCCACCTCGTCGGGAAATAGCAACGTGAGCGACAGGAGCAGTAGCTCCAGCTCCAGCTCAAGTTCGAGTGCCGGCGAGGAGCTGTTGACCAGCAATCTGGAGGCCAAAAAGAGGAGCAACAACGGTGGTGCTAATGAGGCGACCAGTGGTGCGTCCACATCGCCGGCACTGCCGCTTTTCTGTCTGGGGAACTCATTTCCGCACATCGACAGCGATGAGGAGCCAGGAGATAGCGTCGGACCTGGGAAGCACCACAGTCTAGGTAAGCCACGCAGCATATACGTAATATCATATTACGCATGCGCACCGATAGCCGCGGGATGCAGAAATTGCTGCGATATCGCTCGGTATTTGTGCCGCTATTAATGCACAGAAAAAAATAATTTAAAATAAAAGGATAGCTTTGAAAAAAAAATTAATTTGGTAGTACAATAAAGCAAAGTAAAAAACTATTAATTTGCCCTTGACCAAATAATTTAAACGAGTAAAAAAAGTTTTATTTACAATATACTTACTGCTTTACAGTACATGATATATATTTTTCTTAGCCATAATTTTTCTGCAGTATAGCTGCAAAAGTTGCAACAGAGCGACCAGTTCGTGGCTCGCTTATCGCAATTTCTGGGCGTGATTTGTCTTATTTGTTTTAGCTCCGTGGCCTGCATCGTATGCAAATCTGTGAGCCCGAACTATTCAATTAAACGCCCCGCAGCCAAAAGTCGGTTAAACTGGAGTTAAATTTGCGTTCATTTCGAACGGCGCTTTGAAGTCGATGTTTTGGGAGGTGGGGCTTAATGGAACGCTTTGATAGCGCTCAGTTTTGGCGCTAATTTGATATATTTGCCGATCATAAATGCTGCCCGACATTTAAATCAATTAATCGCCAGATTGTCCGAGATAAACGCAGTTTGTTGCCCTGAATTCTAGCGAAAGTATGGCGAGAGTGAAATTTTACTTGTCAAAAATGTCTTTTACTTTGTTTGCTATCTGAATGAGATTCGGTTTTGATCTAAGGCATTCCATCCGGTTTCGAGTCGTCTTGGAATGCTGTCACGGGATGTCACAACATTCGCTTATGCCACTTGATTAATTAACAGTTTACGAAAAACTTAATTTTGCGACAGCACAATCCATTAAATGCCAAATTCTTACTCAATTAAGTTGGCAATGCTCAAAAATTGCCACTTCTATCTGTGGCCATTTATTTGTGAAAAATCTTAAAAGCCGTTCTTTACTGGCGGCCACAAATGCCCCTTCAAAATGCTCCATTGAGAGGAGGAGGTCCGCCGGCAGCCGCGGCTTTAGCCATTAGCCATTAACATCGACAACCCACGGCATCCGGCGAGACGCGGTTAGCCGCAAAATATCGTTGTCTCTGTGGCAGCCACAACGGTGCAAATGCCTTTTAATTTGTCAAAGCTTAAAATATGAAAATTAAATGAGAAACCAAAGCAATGCCGGTGCAAAGACACCGTGGTTCGAAGTAGCCATCAATAACTTACAGAAATATTATTCAAGTTGGTAATCTTTGAAATTGCTTATTATCAAGAGCTGAAAATACTTTGTTATTTTTATTGGCCGCCGTTATTTATAAGCCGCTAGATTTCTGAACGCAAATTAAGATTTCCCAACATTGACGAACAGTTTTATTACGTTGTTATTATTATAGCTACGGAGTCGTGGAAATTTAATTGGATTTACGAATTAAATATTTATAAGAAATTCATTTTTACATGAAGTTTACCTTTCAACCCTTTTTTTTGGGTTACTTTTTCAATATATTTTGCCACTGTTCCCTGGAATGCGTTCAACTGCGATCTGGACTGGGTGTGGGTGCAATTTGCAAGCGGACATAAATCAGTTGGCAAGTGCGGGGGCTATTGTGGTTTGGCTATTGAATTACAATGCAGCGGGTCGCGTTCGTTTTTTGGCTCTCTGCCATTGGAAAAGCGGCAACAGGTGGCCGGAGTTCACTGCGACGAGTGCAGAATTTCCCGAGACGCTGAAATGTGTCGCATTTATCATTGGGAAATATTTGTCTCATGCGAAAGTGCCCGGGGCGGGCGAATAATTTATGACGAACTAGTTTTTCGGGGCAGCGGAGCCAAGGCGGCGACCACGCCCCTTTCCTAGCGAGCCGGTGTGGGCTGTTCGGCAGCTCGAAATTAATCAAATGACATTATTATGCAAACAGTGCAGATCCTGGACCAGTTTTCAAGGTTCCGTCAAGCGTTTAAAATACAATTAACCCATATTTTTACCCCTCGATCACTTTGCTTTAATTTCGTGTGAGTTTTCGCAAGTCTTTTCGAGCAAGTCATTTGAGCATGATACAAAAAATACACTGAACTATTATAGTAAAAATAATAATACAATTCCACTTTATTGGTAAAGATTTATTAATAACTTGCCAACACATTCTCCCTTATTTCCAAATGTCTTAATAGTCTGTAAGTTTAGGTAGGAATCTCATAAACTTTTTATTTGCATGAGTAGTTACTTGGTAAATACTTTACTTAACACTTGGTTTTTTTCTCTCTGCAGAGACCTGCGAGACCGAGCTACTACCGCCCAGCTCAATCAGCGAGCTGCCTGAGAAACTGCTGACCAGCGGAGTCTACCTACCAGGTGAGCATCCGTATGCGGCGGACCTAGGTGACAAACTTTCCATTTTTCGCCGCGCCCCAGACCGCTCTCGTCTAATTCTAGACTTTCACTGAACCGAAAACCGAATTTGCTTATAAATTGGAATCGCTTTTGTAACGCCCCGCCAGGCAATTTGCCGCTGGCCATTTTCATGGCCATTTTCCCAACGACGATGGTGTCGGCGAAAACGGTTGGGGAAATGCATAAAGTTGGCGCTTTTCAATTAATGCGCACTCGCTTTTTCGCACATTATCGAAGGCGAAGTGGCCACCCAAGGCGCACCAATTGAGACCGCGTCGGAGTGTGTGATTTCCCGCATCTGGAGATCTTTTATAACCCATCGCTTAACTATATTTTTGTGATTCTTTTTACAGGCACACGCACCCTCCAAGGCGACCCACTTGTGAGCGTGGACGCGGCCTGTGTGGCGTCCGCCGGCCTCAATTGCTACGAGCTGGCCACGTTGCTCCTCTACTACAGCACAATTCCCGAGCGCAGGTGAGTGGGGGATTTGAAGATGTACACTCAAAAAAAGTGTGACAAAACTTGGACAGAAACTATTCATATCAATCAATTCTTGTCTCGCTGGCTCATCTGCTACATCAAAATTTAGGAATACCTGACATGAACAGGGGTCAAGAAATCAACCTTCACCGATTGTTAAAATACAATGCAGATGCCTCTAAAGGCATTTATATATTTAGGGAATAAACTAGTTGCTGTTTTGTTGCTACTCTATTACAGCAAACTTTTTTCCCGTGTGCATATCTAAATTTCCATATCTGAATCAGAATTAGAATCAGCCTCATCGGTTTAGTGTCAAAGTAACGCATGGGAATGGGCTCAACGAGCAGCTGAAGGCAATCGCAGAACCAGTACAAGTACTTCCACCCGTTCCCCCCCGTCAGAATCAGCATCTGCATCCGAATCAGGCATTTCAATTTGTCTGGCAATAAGTTCATAGACTGGCAGACCCGCGGGACCCGTCGGCCCATCCATATTTACGAGGAGATATGCAAATGCGCCAGCCAGTCAGCCAAGTCAGCCAAATGGCGCTGGGAACGAAGCGGAGCTGTGCATTTAAGCCTTTAAGACGTGGTCCCCGATTCCACTCCCCCGAGAGCTTCGTTTCGCTGCGGCCCGAATGCATGTCAGTCAATTTGCCACTTTGGCTAAAAGGAAACATGCAGCAGCAACATCGAACAGCACTTGCATTGTGAGCCAAGAACTTTGCCTTAGAAAATAGAACAAAAGTCTGGGCTAAAAGTCGATAAACACTGTCCAGCAGGGTTGGCTATCTGCTCTAGATCTTCGAGTGAATGGGGCTTTTACCACGAAAATAGTTAAGCCGGGGAAATTCAGTAAACACACAATGCAATACGGTCAAGTGGAAATGGGGCTTTTTGAAGAAAATAAGATATGCATTCAGGATAAGCAAATTATCATGTGATGATCGAAGGCAAGATTGTTGATCTATTATTTTATTTTACCTTTTTAATGAGAACTTATTAAGAAAAGATTATTATTATTACATGATTTAGTGTAGTTTGCAGACTTTAAGACCTGTGGGAGAAAGACAATAGATTCTTGGCCAAAGGAAAATTGTAAAAATTAAATTTAGCCACACCGCGCGTTAAAAGTGCCTTAACGAGCTGCCATTTACGGGTCCAACCCAAGGGTCATGGGAAAAGGTCTGGAAAATCCCAATAAACGGCGCGGAACGGACTTTTTCCCCTGCTGTTTAGTGTAAATTAGAATTCCACTCAGGCTGGCTGCCAATGTTTGTGGGGCTGGTTTCTGCGGGCACGTCTTTTGAGGGACTGTGTGCGGCTTCCCTTTGAGGAGCGAGCGAGAGGCGCGATGCCCCCAGAATGAGGGGGAGGTTGGAGCGGGAGAGAACGATAACTGCAGGCATATGAATGATTTTTTTTCCAGACAGATTCGTGACACTTTAAAATTTATGATGTGAACTTTTATTTTTCCGCAATGGTTGTTGTTGTTGTTGCCGTTCTGGCAAAAGGTTCCAACTGCCACACGATTCCTGGAAATATCAGAAGATCTGTGAAATCTAAATCGACAGAGGAGAACACTCGTATCTGGCGGCCACTTACAGTTGCCATCGCGATTCCCGTTCTAGTTTTATTTTCTTTCAGTCAGAGCCAGAGCTTCAGCTTCAGCTTCGGCTTGAAATCCAGCTGCATGCTGATGTTAATTGCTTCAATGCCAATTGGTAAAACGCGGCCAAATCGTGTAGAAAACTCTTTGACAAACATTGGCAGTGGCAGCAGTTGCGCTGAAAAGTGGCACATCACCATCATCATCATCAGCATCTCGACTCATCCCATCCCAACCCATTCCATTCAGTCCAGTCCCCGTCCCGTCTTCTTCGACCTGACTCATGACGAGTTGGATGTGCCAGACCATTGACATTATTTGCGTTTGTTTGCCGACATGTGTAAGGTATTCATTAGCTGCCTGTCCAATTCGGAATGTCAGCCAGATGGACGGCAAATATTAGATGTTTGCTGCTTTTCACCACTGCGTCAGTGTCAACATGGCCACTTGGCTTATCCGGAGCTTACATCATTTGTCTGGGCCAGAGGTCTGACCTCGGCGACTCCGACTCCCCGGCTATCTGACTCCTAAACCTCCGACTCCAAACCCAAACTCCTTACTCCATCTGCGATGCCAATCCACAATCCACAACTCCCTCCATCGTGTGTGTGACAGCTTGCAATTAAATTTGTTTTTATGGACACACTTTGGCTGCACTTCTCGGAATCTTCGGCTGCGAAAGGTACCAAAGTCGCCCCGCGTATAAATATGCATGGCCGCGCATAATACGGATATAAAAGAAAAGCTCGGGTTACACACGCTCGACCTGGCCTAGGATTGTGCTCATATTTTAATGCGTCGTCTTGCCCTACAAATTCGACGGAGAAAGCATGCGCGGCTGTGCCCAAAACCGAAATGCATTGCAATCAGTCAAGGTTTCGAATTATAATTATATTACCCATGGTGGAGGTTACACGGCAGGTTAAAGCGTTTTTGCTGAACTACAAAATGGGTTCGCAGAAGATGGGTTCAAAGAAAGGTGGATTTACCCATTAGACATTACCTAACGATTTCGAATTAGTTCTAAAAAGATCATCAAATTATGCAAGATGATACTTGTGTCCTTCTATACTATTTTATATTAAAGCTTTATAGAAAATGATTATAATACCAAGAATTCAAGTACATAAGAGTAATTTTTCTTTTGTAAGAAACCCTTTATTTTTAATTTATGTCAAGATTTAGTTAGATTTATTAATTATCCCGTTAAGGTTAGGGTATTCCCGCCTCGACGTGGCCGAATTACGGAAGATCTTTTGTCGGCTGGCTCATTTGAGCTTGTATGTGGGCTGCTTTGGAATTGAAATGCCAGGCTTTAAAGCCGCTCTGTGCGGCATCATTAGGCCGCGGTGTTAGACCCGAAGACTCCGCAGAAACACGCCACATCAGCGGATCTCGGCATTGCGTGCAATTTGCAACTGCAACTGCAACAGCAACACCGAGAGCAAACTGAAACAACCCGGGGGTGGACTTGGTGGCTCTGACTGCCAATTGCCATGTGAGAACATTGAGAGCCCGGCCTGGCATGCGTTTACAGTTAGCCAACTTGGCCGCTCAAGAATTTGCGAGCCGCTGAACAAACTTTGGCCAAAGTGTTTGGGACACGGCTCTTGGCTTGTGGCTTGTGGCTTCTGTTAATGCCCACCAGCTGCCATTAGCAGCAATTTTCAATTTTTATTTACGCTGATTAAAAGTGGCTACCAACTTGTCATAGTTACGTGATTTCTCCCCGCCGAGTTACTGAAAGGTAATGCAAGGTAAGGTAAAGTGCTTCATCTGGCGGCTGCCGGTTGCCAGCCAGCCAGAGTCCAAGTGCAGAGGCCGCTTATTGCCAATTAAAGTGAACTTGTTTTGGGCGTTGCCGAGTCGGTGTGTTCTGCTCCCCAAACGGACACCACCACCCAATCCGCCCAAGCATTATGTGTTTTTATTTCTCTCCATGGATCTGGGCGGCCCACATGCGAACCAGTTCACATGGAAGCCTGGGAATTAGCGGGAAGAGAGCGATTAATTCCGAGGCAGAATCAGTCGGGAAGCGCTCGTCGAGATTACAATAATTTATTGAAAAATTATAGCCCGAGGCCACGTTAAACTTAACAATTCTAATTAGATGCGCTGGCGAAGTTGGTTGCATTTAAAATGCATTTACAGGGGAAGCAAAAATGCCGTTTTCAATTGGGAAATAAATTATTTTACAGCAGCTAGGATAAAGTCATTAAATATGAAGTTTACACAAATTAGAAAAAACTTTTACTATTGTTCTGTACTCACCACTTAAACAAAAACTATTATATTATAATTATTATTTCCGTTATACGATCTGAAAAGATATTTTTTCGAACTAGTTCCATTAGTTCGTTTGATTTTGACCAACTCTGATCGACAGCAAGCAAACACTTTTGATGTTATTTATGCGACTTGACCGTGCCCCTTCTCGGCCACTTTGGACCACAACTCATGGCTCGTTTTCCATTGCTCTTGCAGCTCCTGCCCCTTTTCCCCCCCGGCAACACCCGGAACGACAGCAACAATCAATGGCCATAAAAGCGCTGAGCAACTACAGCAGCAGCAGCAACAACAACAACAACAACATCAACAACAGCAGCAGCAGAAACAACAACCCGCCCAACAGACATTTACCATTTTAATTGCCATCGAGAAGTCTCAACATTTATGCGTAATCGACTTAATTTGCCAAAGTCTTCGGCTCTTAGCCAAGCAAATTGGCAATTGTGAAATTTTGGCCGTTTGTGCCGATTCGAGTCTGCTGCAATTGTGCAACGAGCAGCAGCAACAGAAGCAGCAGCAGCAGAACAATAACAGTGATCACCCGGTGAGTTTAGGTTTATACCTCCTGACCTTTCAGATTTCACAAGGGAGCACAGAGAAAAATTATGAGGAAAACCCTTTTTGTATAAATAACATTTTTGCAAAGGCTAAGCAGTATAGCCACTGCTTTTGTGAAGACTATAGAATGTATACAAATATTTTAAAAATTACTTTGATGATAGAAAAAGAGTTCCAGAATATTAGAAAATAATATAGTAATAACTATTAATTCAGAAGAGAATTTAATAATATGCTTTGCATTCAAAAATATTAGAAAATTAAAATTGTCGAGAGTTTTGTTAAACTTTTCTTTTCGAGTTATACAAGTATTTTATCTCTGAGTAAAATTCTTTCAAAAAAAGTATTTCAATGTTTTTTCTCTGTGCTGCCTGAAATGGGCGGGATCGAAAGGCCAGGCAACGGGCTAACGCCCCGGCCTGAGATCTCTCTCGAGTGGCTGATCCCCAGCCAATTAACCCGCCCCGTGACATGACCGGCTGGATGGCTGGCTGGCTGGGCCAACAGAACTTGTCCACTAATGACAACGAATCCGTTGTTTTTCTCTGCTCTGACTCTGACCCCAAACCAAAACTGAAACCAACAAAAACAAAAAAAAAACTAAATAAACAGAAGCCTTCGACGCCGTCGCCAGCGGATTTGGTTAAATTCATTAGCGTGGACCAAGTCACGACAAGTGTTGCGCCATCGCAGCTGCCCGCTGGATTGCTGCCCTCCGTGCCCGCGTTGTCCACTCTGGCCGGGATTAACCAGCGGCATCACGACGTGGCCAAGTGGCGGGAGTTTTTCGCCCAACTGGAGGCCTTCCAGCGCCAATGCTCGACGGCCGGCGGTCGATTGGTGAGCGCCCTCAGCGAAATACGCGCCGCCGATCTCCAGGGATTGCCCACGCGCCGCCAACTCTATAGTCAACATCGCGCCCTCAGTCGTGCGCTGATGGATTCGCAGCTCCACAGCCTCCGCAAGATGGGAGCTGGGCAATTGGCGCGGCTCCAGGACCTGGCCAGGGCCATCACCTCTGCCCCGCCTGCCCAGCCTGCCTCGCCGCGGATGACGTCACAGCCGCAATCTCCATCTTCGGGGGCATTCCTCAACGTGGATGCCGCCTGCAAGCTGCGCAAGGTAACGCTCCTCTTCAACGAAGTGGATCGAGCCGCCCAGCGGCTGGAACAGCTGACCGAGCAGCGCAGGGAGAGGCTTAGACAGCTGACCCGCCAGCGGGCTCTCGAGGATGAGATCAATGAGGTGAGTACCTGGTCATCTCCAGATAAAAATATGAAAAATCTCCAAATATAAAAAGAGGGTAAAAGAATATTTAAAAATTTAGCTCAGGAAATAAGAAACCCATTTTATAATGAAAAAAATTTAACAAGATTTTGTGCTTTGAAAAATATTTAATCATCTAAAAATTCACAGAACAAACTCTGTTAAATTTTTTGAAAACCCTTTTCAAAATTATTGTATAGCAAGAAAAATACAATGATTAAGCTATCAAAACTCGTTAAGATCTCACGTTAAGGCTGCACTTCATCTCGTAAATAATTATATTCTCCATTCCCCTTTGCCTAGCAAAAACAGCTCTTGATGTGCTCCCTAAGTTCGCCGAACGATTTACAATATCTATAAAATTGGTTTCTCCCGGCAACTTTGTTGCAGCGAGGCTTTAATGAGATGGGGACTTGGATTTGGTTTTTCGCTGACAGGAAATGCGGCAGGCGCAACAAAATGCGAATGCCGAATGCTGAATGCCAAATGTATCTCGCAGATAGTCGAGCCTGACATTGTTAATTGAATATGCATTGCGTTTAATGCGGGCTTTATTAATTTATTACGCGCATCCGCTTACTGTCCGCTCCTCGGGCTGCTTTCGCATTAGTTTCAGGATCGGACTGGCCGATTGGGATTGAGAGATGACGCTGCCAGTCAGCGGCCAAATGGAGTCGTTAGATAAGCGGAGGCATCCAGGTGGATGGCAGTCGGTAGATTCCGCAGGGAGCATCTGCCACTTCCTGGCCTTTTAATTGACTTGTTAATGAGTTTTTGCCCAGCGCGCGGCAAAGGGATCGCACATTTTGCCGCATGTTGCGCATTGCACATGCCCTCTGCCGACTACCGTGCGCGTCATGCGAATAATTGCAGACGCACGCACCCACAACTCGCAGTTGTATCTTCCGCTGGGGATCTCGCTTAATCAGCGGCAGTGACAGTCGGAGCTCCGCCCAGTTGGGCGACTCCTGTTTCGGCCCGGCTAATGCAATTCCGCTGATTAATCGCAATCATTTGTTGCGGGATTAGCTGCAGTTTACATATTCGTCATACTTTCGCGCCACTATTAAATTTTGCCATTATTATTATGATTGTTGATGCTGCCGCAAGATGTTGCTGCTGCCACTGCGGCAGTTGCAGATGCTGGTTAACAAAAGTATGTCAAATTGCGAATACACGACACGCAGATAGTACACACAAAAAAAAATAAATTAATATGTGATTTATAAGTTGTTACTAAACTCCATTTGCTTTAAAAAGCTTCAAAAATCATCAAGGCCCACATAATGTATTTTTACCTCAAATCTACTTATCTTCTTTATAGTTTTTATATTACTTTTCATATATGTTATTTAGACTAAAGTGGATTTAAGTTTAAATTTTTTACCATGTCTAACTTGCCATATAAGGCCACACAGCCGATTGAATTCCCCTAACCAAAGATGTATAGATAGCCGTGCGGAATCCTCAATTTCATTTAATAATTTGCGGAAATTGGCATTTAAAAATTTGCTGAGCCTTGTTAACGTTTCGTATGTGGCGTCTTGGCCTTTTTCACACGCTCCCGCGCACTCCGCTCCGTTTGAGAAATGTGCGGCCATTTATCTGACTTGATTTTTGTGCAAAAATTGAATTTTAATTGCCAACGAAAAGTTAATGAGAAAAGTGAAAGCAAGGTTAAAGAAATTAAACGCAATCTTTACTTTTGCTGGATGCGAGTTGCTGTTTGTTTTTGTGTGTGATTTTTTCAATCGATTTGTCGGTGGCTCGGAGCGCCCATTGATTCGCACTCGCATTCGATTCGATTCGTTGACTCTGCGCATTTCATTTGATTTCATTCATTTCCATTCAAAAAGTAGTTCACCGATAAGCAACAGCCGTCCATTCAGCTGTCTCTATGTCCGCTCGAGAGTCCGTCCGTCCGTCATGTTGTCCCGCTTGTCATATCGCGATCGGCGCAAAAATCATACTAAGAGATACTTACGAGTATTTAACACCAACACGCTTTCAATTAAAAAGGCGTTGACAGCTACCAATTTTGTGCAGATCGTAGTTGGCTTTTGTTTCTTTGCCTCATTTGGTTTTTAAATACTCTAACAAATATCAAATAAAATGTAGGTTTCACCCTTTTTCGTTAAATTTTGTTTGATTAAAAAGGAATTAATTTATAAACCAACAACAGATTTTCTTTAATTGAAAACTTAATTGTTAACATATATTTCCTATAAATCCAGTATTTTTGATTGAGGTAACACTGTCAAAAGGTTATTTAAGTTTTTAAAAACTTTAGTATACCAACAACTTTAAATAGCATTTCACTCTATAAGAAAAGAGGTTTTAAAAGAATTTTAATGCGTGAGAAAGGGGAGATATCTGCGATTCCCTTCCCTTTGCAAATATTTGCATACTTCTTAGTTTCTCCTTATCGGCACCAAACATCTCAAAGATCTATGGTTAGTGTATCCACCGCTGGTCGCGTCAATTGATCCCGCATTCATCTTGTTTCTTTTTAATTAAATATATTTAATCTGCGATGCCAAAACAAGCCGAACACATGAAACTGGACCACAAAAGCGTCTCTGGTCGGCCGGCAAACTAATGTTGCTGTCGTCCATTAGGCGCGAGCATTCAAACAAGGTGCGAAAAAAGATGCCGCCGTGCTTGATGTTGCTGCCGTACCAGCAACTGTTGCTGCTGAAGTTGCAACTGTTGCTGTTGCCGCTGCCGTTGCCGCTGTAGTGTCGCCATTTTGCTGGCCAAGAGGATGACGACGACGACATTATGATGCGATATGCGATATTGTATCTAAATTGTTGATCGGCTGCATTAGCTGGGAGCTCGGGGTCCCCGAGATGAAGGTGGATTGCTCCACAAATATGGCCATGATGGGTGTTTGCCGAGTCGGCCAGGAGAAAGGGGTGAATGCAGCTGCGGCGACAGATAAATAAACATTGCTGACGGTGAAATTGGATTTGCTTAGCGCGCTTTCTTTGAGACGATTGCTCTTTTTCTGTTTTTATTTTTTCCGCTGCTGCACAAATTAATTTGCGCAATGTCGGCGGCTTTGTGCAATGAAAACTATGTTTAATTGTTTCGCGCCTTGAATTGCAATTGCCATAAGGAGCACTTTGGATTCGGCTTCTGTGGCAAAAAAAAAAACAAAAAAAACGGTGGAGCATCTGTGTCGCGGAAGCCTGGCCGCCACTTTGGGGCAGCTTATTTATGGCCCCTGACATTTGACCGGCTGTCTTTTGGGCCAGGAATGCGGTGGCAATATTCCCCAGCTCCTTTCTCCCATGTCTTTGTTTTTTTTTGTTTTTTTTTTTTAGTTCTCTTGGCTTGCATAACCGCACTGCCAGCTGCTTTTGGCCAAGAACTGGCTGCATAGAATTCGGTCAGGCGAGAGGCATGAAAAATGAAGGCTTATTTACTGTCGACATGCCGAGGCAAGAAACCCCCGTCGAAGCGGCAACCTCGAACCCCGGGACCCCATCCACGGGGGCATTAATAATAACCGCATGTATTAGCCCTGGCGGGCATAATAAGTTTTTCCACCCAATAGAGATGGACCCGAGTTTATTTCATAATTAACTCCAAGTTATTCAGAATTTCTCCTGTTTTCCGCCAGTTTTGATTTTTAAGACCCCATTACATAAATGTATGATTAATTTCCCTCCTGCGGTTAACGGTCACTAAAAACTAGTTGAAATACGGGAAAATAAGATTACCCTTAATTGCAATTAGTCGGCGGAAAATTAGTTTTGATTTCGGGTTTTATTCACTCGCCACTCGACACATTTATCTGTCTTTCAATTGCTTAGCCAACTGTCGATTAGCCGCTGACATTTGGATAAATGCTAACCAGAAACCGAGAATCGAAAATAAGCTTATAGGCACTTTGCCGGATTGACAAATCTTAAGTGGACCATACAAAAAAAACTTGACAAACAAGAAGCTCAATAGGCTTAAAAGGATTTGAAGTTGCGATCAATCAGTTATTGAAATTGATGCTTTTACAGAGAGATATATGCGTATTATTTTAAACCGAGATTGTTTTGTATATGTCTTCTAAACCTTTTAAGAATTATTCTAGGCAAACAATGGAAATTTTTTTTTATTTCAAGGCTAAAAGATATAAATCATTAGCTTGTTGATGAGTTAAGTGTTCCTAAACCTGATATTTCTCTTTGTTGATTCGAATTTGTTATATCCCATGGTATGTTTTTAACCACCTTTAACCGAATCCTCGTGCGTGATGAGATTCAGCACCCGTGTCTGCTGTCATCTCTACTCGAAAGCTACCAAGATACGAGTGCTCGTACGAAATGAACACATGCTTGCCGCAAGTGCCGCCAATCGCAACCGGTTGGGATTGCTGCATGCAAATGTTCCACGCAAACAAACAATGCAGATGTGGCTGGTGCTCCTCCTCCTCATCCTCCTCCTCCTGTTCTTGCTGCTCCTGCAGATATACGTGTATATGGTCGTACCTCCTCCTCGACTCCAGTGGTTCCATGTTGGCTGTGTCATCAAAACGGACGTTAATCATACGCTTAGCAAGCCAGCCATCGCCGATGGCCATCGTCGCTTTAGCCAGAATGTCCAGGTTATTGAATTAACACGGGTTTGGGGTCCTGGTCTTGGACTCGGGGTCTCGAAACCTGCAGTATACTCATACTATATATATAGTCGAGTGTGTTGTGGCTTCTGGCGGGCAGACAAAGTGTAATTGTTGTCGCCAGCGCTTTTGGACCGTCAAGTCAAAACGTAACTGTCACACTGGGTTTGACATGTTTTTTAACACTAATTTTACACGCATTTTTAGAAATCGTCAACTTCATCAACAGCTGTCATCATTTTTTGAGCGTCGTCACGTCCGCTCCCCAATGCAGTTGTAATGGAGTTGAAGTTGGACAGTGTCGCCCGATCGCCGATAAGCTGCCACGCCCCCCTCTTCCCCTACCCCCTAAAATTTTCCA